GTGTTGTCTCATCACAATATAAATAATTTTTAAAACATAGGCTAATGGTGTTTGTCTCATCACAATATAAATAATTTTTTAAAGGCACTAAACATTGTTCTCATAAGGACGGGGTCATTCTTTCCACAGTTGCCTTCTTCAGTTGACCTCTCTTAGAGCCATTTGCATTTTAAGACTTATCTGACCTCATCAAATTAAGAGCTATGGTCCCCCACTAAAGGAATTCCAAATGGCTGGACATAATTTTTTTGGACAGAGGGACCATCCACTGAAAGTACTTGACCTTGAAAATCTTTTTTTTTTTTTTTTGAGGCGGAGTCTTGCTCTGTCGCCCAGGCTGGAGTGCAGTGGCACTATCTCGGCTCACTGCAAGCTCCGCCTCCTGGGTTCACGCCATTCTCCTGCCTCGGCCTCCCGAGTAGCTGGGACTACAGGTGCCTGCCACCACGCCCGGCTAATTTTTTTGTATTTTTAGTAGAGATGGGGTTTCACCGTGTTAGCCAGGATGGTCTCGATCTCCTGACCTCGTGATCCACCCACCTCGGCCTCCCAAAGTGCTGGGATTACAGGCTTGAGCCACCGCGCCCGGCCGGCCTTGAAAATCTTTATAGGTAACAAATTTGGCTAGGTGACATTTGGGGGTTTTTAAGACAGGATCGCACTGTTACCCAGGCAGGAGCTCAGTGGTGCAATCACGGCTCACTGCAGCCTTGAACTCCTGGGTTCAAGCCATCCTTCCACCTCAGCCTTTTGAGTAGCTGGGACTACAGGTGCGTACCATCACATCGGCTAATTTTTGTTACAGAGATGGGGGTCTCACTATGTTGCCAGGGCTGGATGAGATGTTTTTTAAGAAGTGGTCACATTGACACCAGTACACTTACCACATTTCCTGCACAAATCCTAGCCCGCACTCCTCCTGCCCCATTGCCCTCCAGCAAGCAGTCATAATTAAGTTCTACAGGGAACTTAATTATAACTTCCCAAGGGAAGGGGAAGCTGGGAGGAGCACAGAGCACCCACCTAACCCACCCCAAGGTAAATGAAAAGGTACCACCATACCCTTAAAGCCATAATGGGTAGAGGGTGGGAGCAGTGCTGCCAGGCCTCTCCGGCTGTGCAGTGTGCCAGCCTAGCCAGGCCTCTCCTGGGCCCTGGGTTTGGTCTGAAGACCTTGCGCAGGAAGGCGTTGCTCTGCCCTAGGGATAGAAGACTTGGCCTGGGGTTGGGCATTAGGATACCAGGGTTCCAGTCCCTGCCTTGTCACTCTGTGACCTGGGACAAACACCTCTCTGAGCCTCAGTTTCCTCATGAGGTGTTAGGCCTAGATTATCTTTAAAGGCCCACCCAGCTCTTCATGTTTGTTTTGTTTTTGTTTGTTTTTTGAGACGCGGTCTCGCTCTGTCACTCAGGCTAGAGTGCAGTGGTACGATCTTGGCTCATTGCAACCTCCACCTCCCAGGTTCAAGTGATTCTCCTGCCTCAGCTTCCCATGTAGCTGGGACTACAGGTGCACACCACCATGCCTGGCTAATTTTTGTATTTTTAGTAGAGATGGGGTTTCACCATGTTGGCCAGGCTGGTCTTGAACTCCTGACCTCAGGTGATCCACCCACCTCGGCCTCCTAAAGTGCTGGGATTACAGTCCTGAGCCACCGTGCCCGGTCTTTTTTTTTTTTTTTGAAGACAGAGTTTTGTTCTGTCACCTAGGCTGGAGTGCAATCGCACTATCACAACTCACTGCAACCTCCTGCTCCCAGGTTCAAGCAATTCTCCTGCCTCAGTCTCCTGAGTAGCTGGGACTAGAGGTGCACACCACTATGGCTGGCTAACTTTTGTATTTTCAGCAGAGATAGGGTTTCACCATGTTGGCCAGGCTGGTCTGGAACTCCTGACCTCAGGTAATCCACCTGCCTTGGCCTCTGCTGGGATTACAGGCGTGAACCATCGTGCCCAGCCTTCATGTTCTCATTCAAGTGAATGGGTTGGAGAAGGGAGAGAGGAGCTGTACACAAAAGTCCCCCTTATCCTTGGGAGAACATGTCCCAAGACCCCCAGTGGAGGCCTGAAACCATAGGTAGTACTGAACCATATTGTTTTTTCCTATACATACAAACCTATGATAAAGTTTAATTTACAAATCAAGCACAGTAAGACATTAACAATAAAATAGAACAAGTATAACAATATACTGTAATAAATGGTATGTGAATGTGATCGCTCTCAAAATATCTTACTGTACTATAGATCTTAGCAACCTCAGCATTTTTTCCTAAGTCAAAAATCTCTACTTTTTCACATAAAGGAACTTTATGGTTTCTCATTGGCATATGCGAATTGTCACATCATTACCACTGTACGTTAGGGCCTTTGAGAGGAGTCTCACTGTTGTGGAGGCTGGAGTGCAGTGAAGTGATCATAGCTCACTGCTGCCTCAAACTCCTGGGCTCAAGGGATCCTCCCAACTCAGCCTCCTAAGTAGCTGGGACTATAGGCACGCCACCATGCCCAACTAATTTTTTTTAAAGAGATGGGGTCTTGCTGTGTTGCCCAGGCTGGTCTTAAACTCCTGGCCTTAAGGGATCCTCCTGCTTCCACCTCCCAAAGTGATTACAGGTAGGAGCCACCACGGGTTACTTGAACACAAGCACTGCAATACCTCAATGGTCAATTTGATAACCAAGATGGCTACTAAGTGATCAATACGAGGGGAATGGGAACAGAGTGGAGTCTGAAGAGCAAATTGCCTTTAAGATTTATGTTGTGAACAAAATGACCTCTCTCCTCAGGTGACCTAAGGTTTCCCAGGCATTGGCTTTTTTTTTTTCCCCTGGAAAAAAAGCAGCAGCTAATTCTGAGTCCTCCCTCCTAAGCCCCTGGTAGAGTGTCTCCATGGAGACAGGCTCCCCCCTCGGAGCAGGACAAACAGCACTGAACACCCCTGCCTTCCTCTGGCTGTCGGCTCTGGGATCCTGGGCAAGGCTGACCTGAGGCTCAGAGGACACCAGAACTGTGTGCCCTCACAATGCTCAGCCGCCCATGCTGTTTATCCCCTGCTCCCCACCCAAGGACCTCCACATCTCTCCTCCTGTGTCTCCTTCCAACCTGCTCCTCCTCCTCCCCAGCCAAACCCCTCCACTGTCACCTCCCCCAGTAACTGGCACTTAGCTGAGGACCCAGCTTCCCCACAGCCCTCTCCAGCACAGGCTATTCGCGTTCTCACACTCTTCAAGGTCAGGATCAGCAGCCTCCCGGCTCCCCAAGGCCATGTCCACAGTTTCCCCTCCACTGTCATCTCATGCTCACCTTCCTTCTAGTTACTCCCCGTGTGCAGTGGCATTTTCGCCACCATTACCCTGGGTGGCCTTCCCTTGACGTCATCTCCAAAGACCTTACCCTCCACTCCATTTCAGTCGCACACTCCCACGGGCAGAACCTCTACCTGACCCCAGGAATTCAGGTATTGCATGCCCTCCTCATAAGCTCCCACCCTTCCAGCCCAGTGACTCCCATCATGCTGGCACGTGTTCCTCAGCAGGCCTCAAACCCATTCATTCACTCCTCCACTGTCTTACAGCCCCCTTTGGCCCCACCTCTCCCTCTTCCCCTACCTAGCTTGAACTGCAACCTCCAGCACCTCAATCACTCTTGTTCAACTCTTCAAAACCACCTTTCGTCTTTCTGAACCCAAACTCTGTAGGGGTCCAGCAGCCTTCTTCTGGGTAGACCCCGCACTAGAGAAATGCAAAGCGCACAGCCTGAGACTGGGGCCTCCGGGTCAGCGGCTCTCCCACCTCAGCTGGGTCTTCAACACTGCCACAATCCCTCTGTCCTAGCCCATAGCGTCCCAAGGGAAGGGGCAGCTGGGTGGAGCGCAGGGCACCCACCTAACCCACCCCAATCCTTCCATCCCCTCCGCCTCCTCCAGGGCTTTGAGCCGCATTTCCTGCTCTTCTCGAGTAGGGGCAACCTCTCCCATTGTCCAAACGAAACTAGCTCAAGTCTTTCTCACCTGAAAAATAAACTCTCGAGTGCCTCTCTCCAGCTACTGCCCCATGTCTCCTCCCCTTCGTGTTTACACTTCCTGCCTCCATTTCCCCACTTTGTCACTCCCTGGCTCCTGCCCCCACGACACAGCTGTTCCCCACAGGGCCACAGGTGGGCATCACTCAGTGTTGACACGGCTGCCCCTCCCTGTGACATCGTCTCCTGCTAGTCCGCTCCTATCTCAGTCCCCTCTTCCCATGACCCGAGGCTGGAGCTCCCCCAGGATCTCTCCCAGGCCCTCTGCTCGCCATCAAAGGCGGATGCCTCACAAGCCTACCTCTCCAGACAGGCTCACCCAACTGCCTCCTCCCACCAACGCTGCAGCCCACTCAAGGTCCACGTAGTACAAGCTGCATTCCTTCCTCGCACTCCCTTGCCCTGTGTCCCCTCTTAGCAAATGGTAGCCTCCGCGATCCTGCCCCGAGACAGGCCTACGCCCAGCGTGGAGTTGAACATCAGTATTTGCTGAACGAGTGAACGAATCCTTGACCTTTCTTCATGCTCCACAGCCGGTGAGGATTCCTTTCCATTTTACTGCCTCCTACGTCCCTCGAGTCCTCCCCTCTGCTTCTTTGTTCACCGCGGCCGGCTGCCTCCCCAGACCCGCAACCCCGGCTGGGCCGGGAACCTGCGCCGCGGCGCTCGTGCCCAGCTCTGCGACCCCTGCTCTGTGACGCCCGCACTGCACGGGGGCACCGCGGCCCAGCACAGGCGCCGGTCACTAGTACACGAACAGAGCGAGCGAACGGAGCCATGAGGGAAGGGAGCATTGCCGGCAGCCGCCCGGAGACCAGGATACCACTGGGCCAGCACGGAAACGCAGGTCTCGCCCTCGCATCCACGATCTGCACTGAGTAGCCGCGCGCCGAAAGACGTGACTAAGCCACGCCCACGCGGCGCTCCCGGTGGCCAATGGAAACGGCTTACGAGACGCCTTCTCCACGCGCTATACTTATACGGACCAATGGATGCGCCCTGCTGGGAATACCGCCCCCTGTCCGCGAGCCTCCTCTTCTCGCCAGCCAATGGGAGCGGCATGCATAGCCCTCGAGGGGGCGGGGCGGCGACCGAGGCGAGTGGGTCCGGGAAGGCGCGCGGACTTGGCACCTCTTCTCACGTCAGCCGGTCCAGGCCCAACCGACGGACGATGGGGGTTCCGGCAACCAGGCGCTGCGTGGAGTGGCTGCTGGGCCTCTACTTTCTCAGCCATATCCCCATCACCCTGTTCATGGACCTGCAGGCGGTGCTGCCGCGCGAGCTTTACCCAGTCGAGGTGAGGGGCGCCAGTCTTATCCCGGCCCGCCGAGGCTTTCCCGCGCGCTGCGTCCACAGGGCCTTCACCTCCTCCGCGCTCGCGCACCCTGGGTTCCAGTTCTGCCGCCTCCCTCGGGTCCTGCCCATGCCTCCCCAGCTCCTAACCCTAAAAACTTTAGCTCTGTGTTTTCCTCGGGCTTTGTCTCTATCCCAGACCCTTCTCCCAAGCGGCAGGGGCGAACGCTTTGTTTCTTTTAAAGTCACTTCTTCCCTGGGTTTAAGGTTTCCTGCGATTCCACCTCTGGCTGGTTGTCAGTGTCTGAGAGAAGTAGTCTGGATGAAGTGGTGTCTAAAGTCACATGTTAGGTTTGCTTTAAGCTTTTTTTTTTTTTTTTTTTTTTGGAAGGGCTTTAAAATACTAGTCTGATCCCAGAGAAAAAGTCCAAGTAGAAACAGACCTGTCTGAAGGTTTAGGACCTTGGTTGGTGCAGCTGGGGCGTTCACAGATCGTCACTGCTTCAAGGTCAGGTTCCAGCAACTTCAGAGCTCGAGAGTAAATTGCCATCTTTTCGGATTGGCTCTTCAATATCGGGTTCGAGTAACAATGATCTCCCGAGTAAAAACAAGGTGAAAATCCCGATCTCGTGGTTGTTGGAGATTTTAACCCCAAACTCTGCTTTATTGCTTTGTTTTTTTCTTCCAAGCTACAGTTTTAGTTTCCCGGTTCGTTGGGTTTTTTTCTCGTATCTGGACCCTGTGACCTTCTTCCATGGATTCCTGTCCCCAGTTCTGTTTCTGCAACTTATCTAGAACTGTAGGCAGGACTGACTTGTCTACCTGAAGATTTTATTTTGCCTCTGTTTCTCCTTAAATGCTTTTTCTCTGCCGAGGAGAGGTTCATTACCTGAGGGTCATGAGCTCCCAAAAATGGGTGCAAAATGTGTGTGTCTTTTGTTTCCTGGAAGGAGAATATAGCTCCCATCGACTTTTCAAGGGACCTAACTCTCCCAAAAAGGCCACGGTTCAAGAATGTTCCACCACTCCCATAAGTAACTCTTTTGTTTCCTTCTAGAACCAAACACAACGGGAAGACCTCTGGCCTCCTTTTGCGTGGGAAAAGCGTAGGTAGTATGAGGCAAGGTGCGGTCTGGGGACTTGGTTCTTCCGAGAACTGGTGGTGACTTGGGCGGGTCAGGGCTCTGTATCCTCAGCTGTTGAGAGAGTTGAGTTAAATTATAAGCTCAAACGTATACAGGGTGGGTTCGTTTTCATATTGCTGTTGTAGTTACCACAAATATAGTGATTTAACAGATTTATTTGTTTACAGTTCTGGAGGCCAGAAGTTCACAATGAAATCTTACAGTGCTCAAATCAAGGCAGGGCTCACTCCTGAGGGCCCCAGGGGAGAATTTGGTTCTTGCCTCTTCCATTTTCTGGTGGCTGCCAATGTTCCTTGGCTTGTGTTCACATCACTTCAGTCTCTGCTTCAGGTCATCACATTGCCACCCTTTCTGTAGTCAGAGCTCCCTCTGCTTTGCTTTTATAAAGACACTTGTCATACATTCAGGGCGCACCAGATAACCCAGAAAATCTCCCATCTCAAAATCCTTATTTACATCTGCAAAGTCCCTTTTGCCAAATAAAGTAACAGTCACAGGTTCCAGGGATTAGGATGTGTTTATCTTTGGGGGTCACTATTCAGCCTACTACAGGGCCAGATAGTACAGACTTTTCCTGAAAACCGAAGAGGTCATCGCAGCTCTGCAGTAACCATTAATTGCCCTAAAGAAAGGAAAATCTACTACAGTGTTGGCCTATCTGTGGTTTTTGAAACCTGTATGGCCAGCAATACTCAGGCAGTCTGCCTGTTTACAATCTCTGGTGTTACAGGACCTTTTAATACTTCGTAATTAGCCTGCTACTCCATGTAGCCATTCCAGACTTCACAGCTGTTGGTTTCTTTATCCTTCCTGGATGTGGCATTCCCACAAGCCCATCTTGCTCACCCCTAACAAAATACACTTAAAAGGTGCTCAGCATCATATCATAAAGATCCCATTTAAATGTTTAAATTTGATAAAATTTCCTCAGTCTTTTTTTTTTAGAAACAGGGTCCTTTGACACCCAGGCTTGCAGTGTTATGATGCAGTCATGGCTTACCACAGCCTTGAACTCCTGAGCATAAGAGATCCTCCCACCTGTCTCCTGAGTAGCTAGGATGATAGGTGCACACCTGGCTTTTTTATTTTTTGTAGAGATGATGTCTTACTATGTTACCCAGGCTGGTCTTCTGGGCTCAGGCCATCCTCCTGCCTCAGCCTCCCAAAGTGCTGAGATTACAGGCGTGACTGACCATTCCCAGCATCAGCTTTATTTTTTTAATCCTGACTTACTGCAGAAGGCCCAAGGGCCAGTGCAGGCAGCATCTGGCCAGAACCTGTGTGTGAGATGTGATGTTAGGCATTAGCACAGGGGCATCCTGGTTGTGTGTGTATGTGTGTGTGTGATGATGTGTGAAGGCATTAGCACGGGGGCATCCTAGCATGGAAGGTCTGTGCCTCCATTCTTGTTGCTTTGGTGTAGGAAATGCTGATTTTGTTACTTCTCTATGGGGCAAATAATAATAAAAGCCTTGAATTATTCTCACATTCTCTTTGAAAAATGCCAAAATTTAACGTCTGTTGTTTTCTTCCCGAAATAGAAGGAATTTTTCCTAGAGCTAAAAGCCTGTAGGAGATCACCTAGTGGTTGGGCTGAAATTTGCAAAATAAATTTTTTTTCTTGGATTGCACCAAATCACTGCTTGGAAAAACTCTTATTTTTTTTAATTTTTCTTTTTTTTTTTTTTTCTGAGACAGTCTCTGTCACCCAGGCTGGAATGCAGTGGTACGATCTCAGCTCACTGCAACCTCTGCTTCTCGGGTTCAAGCAATTCTCCTTCCTCAGCCTCCTGAGTAGCTGGGATTACATGTGCATGCCACCACGCCCGGCTAATTTTCATGTTTTTTTAGACAGCATTTCACCATGTTGGCCAGGCTGGTCTCAAACTCCTGACCTCAGGCGATCTACCTGCCTCGGCCTCCCAAAGTGCTGGGATTACAGGTGTGAGCCACCGTGCCCAGCCTGGAAGAACTCTTATTTTATTATGAAACAGTAAGAATTTAGTTTGGATACGAAAATGGAAAGGAGAGGATGGGAAGCGTTTTGTAGTATCATTTGCAGCTGGATAACATTGCTTCTGGTAAAAATAAGGAAAAACAAGTGAGCATCTGGCTCTGAAATCAGTCTGTATTCCCATTCTAACTTACAGAAGTACAAGATTGGTGAGTGGGAACCCCTGGTTTAGAGAGCCATGTGTGCAGACCAGGTGCATCTTTTAATGGATAACAAGGGTGAGTTGAGTCAAATGTGAGTCAGGTATAAATGTAAAGTTTCATTACCTTTCGTGGGGAGGTCATAGCTAATAATTTTTAATGACCAGTTGTGAGCTGTGATTTTAATGGGATTAAACTTGAATATCTCCAAATATGTATTAATTACATTCAATTAAGTAATCATTATGTGCTAGCCATTATTTTAAAGACTACATATATTAAGTCACTATCTTACCAATAGTGAAGTAGGCACTATTACTGGCTCTGTTTTATTGATGGGGACACAAGTGTAGGGAGATTAAAGGCCTTGCCTAAAGCTAGGCACTCTGCCCCAGGTCCTACCTGCCTCACCTGTCTGCCAGGTGCCTGGGCTTTCTACTCTCCTACTCACAATTAGTCCCAGCCTCATTCTGGCATCAGGTGGCAGGTATATGACCGTGTAAGATGGTTGGTTACGATTATGATAATTCATTATTACGATATCTGGGTGATAAGGTTTTTTACATTTCACTGATCTCATCTTGTAGGCCTTAGAAATTAAAGTGCTGTACGAGTCTGCCTCAATTTACGAAATAGTTGGATCAGAAAGGTTATATGCAAATTGAATAGAAAATGAGGTTCAAATAGCCAGAATGCCTTTTTTTTTTTTTTTTTTTTTTTTTTTTGAGATGGGGTCTCGCTCTGTCACCCAGGCTGGAGTGCAGTGGCTCTATCTCAGCTCACTGCAACCTCCACCTCCTGGGTTCAAGCGATTCTCCTGCTTCAGCCTCCAGAGTAGCTGGGATTAGAGGCGTGAGCCACCACACCCAGCTAATTTTTGTATTTTTAGTAGAGACGGGGTTTCACCATGTTGGCCAGGCTGGTCTCCAACTCTTGACCTCAGGTGATCCACCTGCCTTGACCTCCCAAAGTGCTGGGACTATAGGCATGAGCCACCGGGCCTGACCCAGAATGCCTCTTACATTTTGCAGTCAGGCCGGGTGCAGTGACTCACACCTGTAATCCCAGTACTTTGGGAGGCTGAAGCAAGAGGATCGCTTGAGCCCAGGAGTTCAAAACCAGCCTGGGCAATGTGACAAAACCCCATCTCTACAGAAAATTAGCTGAGTTTGGTGGTGCATACCTGTAGTCCCAGCTACTGGGGAAGCTGAGGTGAGAGAATCATCTGAGCCCGGGATGTTGAGGCTGCAGTGGGCCGAGATCAAATCACCATACTCCCCCAGCCTGGGCAACAGAGACTGTCTCAAAAATAATAATTTTACAGTCAATCTTTTAAAGCAGGTAGTTTCATCCAGTATTTTTAAAAATCTAAAAAGCAAAAAAGGGATCTTAAGAAAACATCTAGTCCAAGTTGCTTATTTTATAGATGAGGAAATAGAACCCTGGAGAGGGACAGTGACTTAGCCTTTGTGTTTCCTATCAATTCAATCCTATTCAAACCACATTCCCATCCAGAAAAGTGCTTATGAATTTCAATTTCAAATTAAGTACAAATTTGGAGATCCTTTGGTCAATAAATTGGTTATCTAGCCAGAGCCTTTCTGAAATCAAAAATATGCTAACAGGATATTTGTTTCTGGATGTTTGCTTAAAGTGCTCTTGCAGCAATGGGGCTTCTATTTCACAATAGTGAGCTTTTATCTTTTGATTAAAAATTAACAGGAAAAATATTCTTGGATTTTCCATTGTAAGATAAATTCTTACCCTGGAGTTGCCTTTATTAATCATAATATCAAGACTGATTTCTCTTTGAAGGCCTGTGTGTCAGGACAATGCCACATCTAGGAGGTAAAATGTGATGTGACAGACGTTTAGTAGTCCACATAGAGCCAAGAGCACTAGGCTTTGGGCTCCTATAAAAGCCCAAGATGGGCAGCCTTAAACTCTGCTTCTTTTCTCTGCCTGTAGCCAGGTCAGCATGGATCCATATCCTTTTTATTTGACAGGGTAATTAGAAGCGTGGGGCCCAAGCTAGAACTGAGACGCTAAAGCCCTGCATAACCAAGAAGCTACTAGGTAGTTTGTAGTTTGGGGCAGAGTTTGTTCTTCCACTAAAATTCTGTCTCCTAAAAACCAAAAATTAGAATTAGGCGAGTTAAGAATAAGGAACTTGTTTGCCATATTGGAATTAAAGTGTCCAAAATTACATCACCACAGAGGTTAGATTTACTTCCCCTTTCACTCCCACCCCCACCCCCAGAAAAGAAGAGGGAAATTCATTTCTGCCTTTGAGGGAATCTGGCCTTTGGAGCTTGGTGTGTAGTTGCCATTGCAAACGGGAAAGTGTCAGGATGGTTTTCACGTTTGTTTTTTTAAACAAAGAATGATATTGTTAGCAGAAATGTCACATTTGTTCATTCAGCGAACACCCTGAGTGCCTACTAAGTGCCAGATACTTATTGTTGCTCCTGACAGTGGCCAACACATCTGGATGTGTTATCTTGGAATTATGAACAGATGCTGGGTAGCACAAAGAAGGGGCTGGAAGAGTTGAGAAAACTTCACAGAGAAGGGAACATTTGAGTTAGGGATAGTAAGTTTTTATTAAATGACCATCTAGGCTGTGTCACAAAAGCCAGCTGGACATGCCATCTGCTGCTGGGGTTGGGGGTGCTAATTAATGACAGGCTCCTCCAGTGTATTTTCAAATGAGCTAGAACCGAGCCTGTTGAGGCCAGGTGGCTGTAATTCATCATGATCATTTTCTTTTTCAGTTTAGAAACCTGCTGAAGTGGTATGCTAAGGAGTTCAAAGACCCGCTGCTGCAGGAGCCCCCAGCCTGGTTTAAGTCCTTTCTGTTTTGCGAGCTTGTGTTTCAGCTGCCTTTCTTTCCCATTGCAACGTATGCCTTCCTCAAAGGTTGGTAAATGGTGGGAAAATCCCATTTTTACCCAGAAATCAGGTCCCAGAAATCTTTTGGGGAAGCATCTCCAAAGGGAAGGGGATGGTCCCCATAGTTTGTGGGAGGATGCCATAGGATCTGGGGGAAATAACCAGGGTAAATCTTGTAAAGGGACATTAGTGTGGCTCAGGTTAATGTCTGTGGTCAGTGGGGCTGCACGGCTGCCTCAGTCTAGAAATCTCTTGCATACACATGAAACCTGAGACCACTTAAACGATGAGCTTGTTCCCTTTTGTTTTGTTCCCCAACAGAATTAATTTCTCTTTTTGTTGGCTTTTATTTCTCTGCATTGGATAGTATCATACTGACTTATAAGCTGTAGCATCAGGCTAATCCCTAACGTGCTTCTCATTTTAAAATTATTCTTAGCGTTCTCATAATCAATGCTTTTTAAAAAAGGTGACCATACACGTGTACTTGATAACGAAGCTAGAACCGCCGAAAATGCTTGTTTTCCATTGGCATCCCCTGGGGTCACTGAATCTGCCTCCTGATCCTCTCACCTATATATAATTACTGAACAAACAGATGCCATGGGGCAGGGATTTCCCTCCCCTTGGATTTTATCCCACACAGGTTTTAACAGGTAATGGCAGTTTTATTGCCCTAGAGTTTTGCTGAGTTATGTTCTGAGTTATATTCTTGGTTCTTCAGCGAGCTGTCAGTGAGCTGTCACATAAATCTGCATGTTGGGCAGTGTGGCACATCCAGGTTTCCAGTTCTGAGTTTCTACTGGGAGAAGGGAGTAGAAGAAAGCAGGCAGGCAGAGACAGTGGGAAGGTCATGGACACTTTTGAGTCATGAACAGACCTAACCATTTTTCTTTTCCCCTGACTACCTCAGGAAGCTGCAAGTGGATTCGAACTCCTGCGATCATCTACTCCGTTCACACCATGACGACCTTAATTCCAATACTCTCCACATTTCTGTTTGAGGATTTCTCCAAAGCCAGTGGTTTCAAGGGGCAAAGACCTGAGACTTTGCATGAACGGTTAACGCTTATATCTGTCTATGCCCCCTACTTACTCATCCCGTTCATACTTTTAATTTTCATGTTGCGGAGCCCCTACTACAAGTATGAGGAGAAAAGAAAAAAAAAATGAAGGAAACCACCACTGGCTCAGGGTAGAGATGCCTACAGGGTGGTTGCTTGTTGGATACAATACCAGGAACACTGCTCAGAATCCACATCTTCAGCAGCATTTGAACCACTGGCAGCAATGCACAAGAGCAAGATGGTGTCAGGAACCACGTCAAACCCTCTTTTTTTTTTTTTTTTTTTTTTTTTTTTAAAAAAAGACAGTCTCACTCTGTTGCCCAGGCTGGAGTAAAGGGCAGTGGCATGATCTCAGCTCACTGCAACCTCTGCCTCCTGGGCTCAAGCTATCTTCCTCAGCCTCCCAAGTAGCTGGAACTGCAGGCGTGTACCAACACGTATGGCTTTTTTTTTTTTTTTTTTTTTTTTTTTTTTTTTTTTTGTAGAGTACAGGGGTTTTGCCATGTTGCCCAGGTTAGTCACCGAACACCTAGGCTCCAAGTAGTACGACCCACCTCAGTCTCCCTAGAAGTGCTGGGATTACAGGCGTCAACCATTGGGCCCAGCCCAAACCTTCCCTTTCTAAGGGCACTGGGATGGAGCAGACCCGATCAAGCAGGAAGTGGGCAAGGGAGTGTGGGCTAGAGTTGTAAAGAGTAATGCAAATACCTGTGCCTGAGTTCACATAAGATTACTAAAGCAGAGACCAGACCAGAAACTGCTGAGAACATAACCTGTTTGACATAGTTCATGAGTCACCTGACCTACAGCATATATACTTATTATGGCCTGGCCCTCACACCTGATTCTCAAGTGTTATCACCTGTCAACAAAATGAACAGTATATTTTAGGCCATTTTAAATGTAAGAGTACCTCTTTATTCTTAATTCAAAACTATATCAATGTTTTCTTGTCCCCCTCTAACCCAAGGAAAAAAGAAAAAAATACTATGTGTGGGCTAGGTTATAAGGAAGTAGTACCAAATACCTGTGTGCCTGAGTTCCACCGCAAGATTACTAAAAGCAGGACCAGACCAGAAACTGCTAAAGAACATGGCCTGTTTGACATGGGGTTCATGAGTCACCTGACCTACAGCATATATGCTTATTATGACTAAACCCTCCACACCTGATTCTCAAGAGTGTTATCACCTGTCAGCAAAATGAACAGTATATTTTGGGCCATTTTAAATGTGAAATTTTGCCTCTTTAATGTTAATTCAAAACTATATCAATGTTTTCTTGTCCCCACCTCTAACCCAAGGAAAAAAGAAAAAATACTATGCAAAGAAGTTTAAACTTAGTTTTCCTTAAGGGTCAGCCCAACAATGACTTTCAGTCAGAAATGGATTAAACTGGAAAATGTTTTTGTTGCTGTTGTAAACAGATCATCCTGGAAGGTTTTTGTTTGTTTGTTTTTAAGTTAGTTTATTCTATTTCTAAATCTTAGTCTTCCACATTTCTAGAAGCCACCTGACGCAGGTTCCTGTATCTGAAGTCTAGCATCTCAAGGCTGATCTGGAAGTGTGCTAGTATGCTTCCTAGTGGATAACTTAATCCTTTAATACACTTCAGTGGTTCCCATCTTGTTCTCAGAAGGGAAGGTGGCTACAGCCAGGCATAACATCCACTGTGTGCATACAGGGTCCTTCACGTTGATGCTTGGCATTCCATCAGCTTTCTCTAAGTCTCTGCTCAAGTCCAACCTTAAAATGATGTTAGACAACAGGTCCCAGTCAGTTCCCTCTATTTCCACCCATTTTGCTCACAAGCCATATTGGTCTGATTAGTGGTACTGTCTGACTCACATGTGTGATCCAAATAAAGGTAGCTGCTGACCACTGCCTGGTTTGTTTTGTGGACGAGGGATAGAGAATCCAGGGTTCTCTCACCAGGGGTTAAACATATTTCAAGGGCAACAGGAAGAAAAGGTACATCAAGCCATTTGAAAACAAAAATGTATTCTCCTTCCAAAGTTTTGTGAATTTACAAAAAAAGGATGAAAGTTTACAAACTGCTTAGTTCCAATTAAGCATAAGAAGTGAGAACGTACACTGCAGGGCCACCAGCAGCAGCTGTGCACTGATGTTTAAAACTGGCTCCCCCAGACTTGTAGTGCTGTCTTCAGGGGGCTGTGTTCCTTACACGCCACCTCTTGTGACAGGTCATTGGTCAAGCCGCTGGAATGCTACAGAGGTTTTTTTGGTTTTGAGGGGCTTTTTTTGTTTTGCCTTCCTACTATAAAAGTGAAATTTTCAGTTCATTTCTGAAAAATAAATTGGTCAATAAATTCATTTTGTTCTGCTTCTACTTTACACAAAGCTTCATATTCAACCCGATACCTGAAAAACAAAATTGTTAGAGGCCCTAAAAAAAAGATGAAATAAACCACAGACTTAATTCTTCTAGAGAAGGATATAGAGGTTTAAATGATTTCAAGAAATGGTGTGAGTTCAGAATGAAGAAAGAAAGAGGCAAAGCCCTACCCAGAGCCACCCATGAGAAATGTCCAGCCCTAGGAAAGTCTTCTTTCAGAGAGCCAGCCAACTTCGTAGACCCTTTCATGCTCAAACTACTAGAGGTGGTTTGATATTAAGTTTTCTATTTCCTTCCCATCAAATGTAATTTTATTTTTAAAAATCTTCAAATCAGGATGACAAGTGAGATGCTATTCCTGGGAAAACAATGATGAAGAGTAAGGACAAGAAGTGATCATTCCAGAAGGAAGAGTGGAAATTCAGCTGTGTAAAGAACTTGCTTTACATCATGACTTCTTACCTTTCTAGCTGCATTTTCTTTTCTGCTATTAGTGCTTGAAGTTGCTGCTGTTGAGCTTCTCTCTGCTTTGCTATAGATTTGAGCAAGTTCCGAGCACCGATGGCCTACAGTATTGCCAGAGAAGGCCATGGCTTCATTAAAACCATCTACAGCATCAAGTCCTCAAAGTGGGGAGGGGTCATCTGGAAGCTATGTCAGTCTCCAGAGAGGAAAAGAAAGTGGAGCCCCAAAGCTTTTGGGTTAAGTCAGAAGGATTAACCTACTGATCACAAAGTGCCTCAAGAACTTGACGGCAGCTTTGAGACAGGTCTAGGAGTATTCCTAGAGCCAGGGACACAGGCACAATAGCACATTTGGTGGTGCCATTCAGCCTTGTGCCTTTCACCAATATGTACGCCTTCATTTCTTCATTTATAAAATAAGGATAAAACCACCTACATCAGTGCTGATATGAAGATGAAAGGAGGCCAGGTGTGGTGGCTCACGCCTGCAATCCCAGCACTTTGGGAGGCCAAGGTAGGCAGATCACTTGAGGTCAGGAGTTTGCCTGACCAACATGGTGAAACCCTGTCTTTACTAAAAATACAAAAAAAAGTGGCTGGGTGCAGTCGCTCACACCTTAATCCCAGCATTTTGGGAGGCTGAGGCAGGTGGATCACCTAAGGTTGGGAGTTCGAGACCAGCCTGACCAACATAGAGAAACCCTGTCTCTACTAAAAATACAAAATTAGCCAGGCGTGGTGGCGCGTGCCTGTAATCCTAGCTACCCGGGAGGCTAAGGCAGGAGAATCACTTGAACCCTGGAGGCGGAGGTTGCAGTGAGCCAAGATCGCACCCTTGCACTCCACCCTGGGCAACAAGAGAAAACTCCATCTCAAAAAAAAAAAATACAAAAAACTAATCTGGGTATGTTGATGCACACCTGTAGTCCCAGCTACTTGGGAGGCTGAGGTGGGAGAATCTCTTGAACCTGAGAGGCGGAGGTTGCAGTGAGCTGAGATTGCGCCACTGCACTCCAGCATGGGTGACTCTGTCTCAAAAAAAAAAAAAAAGATTAAAGGAAACAAAGACTGGCGTAAGTTCAGTAGGTTAAGTGGACTAGAAGTTATTAAAATCTTTTTTTTTTTTTTTTTTTTTTGAGACGGAGTCTCGCTCTGTCGCCCAGGCTGGAGTGCAGTGGCTAGATCTCAGCTCACTGCAAGCTCCGCCTCCTGGGTTTACGCCATTCTCCTGCCTCAGCCTCCCGAGTAGCTGGGACTACAGGCGCCCGCCACCTCGCCCGGCTAGTTTTTTGTATTTTTAGTAGAGACGGGGTTTCACCATGTTAGCCAGGATGGTCTTGATCTCCCGACCTCGTGATCCGCCCGTCTCGGCCTCCCAAAGTGCTGGGATTACAGGCTTGAGCCACCGCGCCCGGCCTTAAAATCTTAAATAAAAACTCACCCACCCACCCCTCTAAACAAATCAAGAGGGAAGAAAGATGAGAGGGTAGTAAACTAGGGTCCCAGGCCAAGAAGTAGGCAGAAGACATGCTGATCTTACCTTCATCTTTTCATTTTCTGCTTCTTTTGCAAGTTGATCAACAAGCTCAATTAAACCACCAACTATTTTCTGAAACTGGCCAATTTCTTTCAGAAAAAGAACAAAAAATAAAATATTTCCTCAGTCTCATCACTCCCCTTCGGTAGAGTGTTGAGGCAGTGCGAGGGCAGAGCTGACTGCCCCTTCTAACTTGTGTCAAAATAGTTTGGTGTGAGCCAGGCATGGTGGCGAGCACCTGTAGTCCCAGCTACTCAGGAGGCTGAGGTGGGAGGATCACTTGAACCCAGGAGTTAGAGGATGTGTGATCATGCCTGTGAACTGCCACTGCATTCCAGCCTGGGGAACATAGCGAGACCCTGTCACTTAAACACTTTGGTGCCTATTGGCCTGTCTCCTACCCTTGGTCTGAACCTAGAGAAGGGTGGCCAGCTGGACCAGGGCATACCCGGACCTTGTGTCCCCACTGAGCCAACCAGCTGCTATGATCTCAGGCTATGAAAGCACTAGGCCCTTGCTGGGCTCATCCTCCAGACAGACCCCAACCCTGCTTCCCCAGGAATGACAGGAAGCACTGTTGTTCACAAAAGGGCAGCCTCAGGACACAAGCGCTGCCTGTGGACTAGCTACGGGTATGACACCAGATTTCAATTAACAGTGGGGATGGGGGCTTCCCACTTGTAACCACAGAAAATAGAGAGCTCACAGCATTAAGTGCCTAATCTCCTGCTCACTTTCTCCAATGTCCTGGATGTGACAGAAACACAACTTACTGAGGGAAAACTAAGGCCTAGAGAGGTGTGTGCATGGCACATCAATCACAGAAGGTTAGTGACAGAACCCAAGCTACCTTTCACTAATCAAGCTCTCTCCACAACCTAGGAAGCCCCCAGAAAGCTCAGAAATCCCTTGCTCTAGCTAGATCGGGCTCTGTACTGAATGCATTGGGCTTACTTGGCTGCTGGGACAGGAGGCTTCCTGAAGATTTCTAGCCAAAAGATGACTTCAGTAAGTCTGTTGAGCTGCTTCTAGAAACTTCACTTATCACTTCTAACTCCAAATAACAGAGAACCTGCCACTAGGAGGACTTCCTCTGAAGAAATCAAATCAGGAGTACATAATTCTATTTCTCACCCCCAAGTCATGGTTATGTTCCCAGAAAGTTTAAGGTTTCTAAGAGCAAGAAATGAAAGATGGCATCTCTAAAAACACCCTCCCCATCCCAGTGTTTGGTTTGACTGGTGCTCTGTTGGGGACACATGAGAGCACGAGGGCAGGCAGAGAAGGGTGGCACATGGGAACTCACAGATGCCAGATTCGACCTTCAGGGAGCCAGCAGCTCCACTGTGGCAGGGCCAAGATGAGCCTGGGGTACAGTTGGAATGGCAGCTCAAAGCTGAGTGACACGGTATCTCCCCAATACTCACTGTCCACAAAGTCTTTGCACTCTTCCTTCAGCTCTATGGTCTGCTGGGTAACCTCTGGGTCCAACACCCGCAGCTTATTCAGTTCATCAAAGTGCAGCCCTGCTTCACCCAGGATGTCCTTGGCCATGGCTGCAAAGAAACCAGCCCAATTCCTCATCACTTCCTAGCCACCCAATGAAATGCCTGCTGCCAAGCCAGCCCTGTTCCTGCCCTTGGACACCAATGCCAAAAACCCAGATGTTCCCAATGCTCCCCATTCCCTCTGCCACCACCTCTCTGAGCCTCACCTGTTTCCCATCCAGACTTCCTAGAGGAGTTCTGCTCTGAAGGAGTGACAGTGGCAGTCAGGAGGAGGTGTGTCATAGGAGCAAGGGTCAGGAAAGAATAAAGTCCGCTTGCTTGTCACAGGCATCGTTCATTCAACACACATTTCTTGAGTGCCTACTACATGCCAACACTGCTAGATGCTGGGGGTACAAAGATGAATGCAACACGGTGCCCGCCCTGAAGACACATAGTTCAGCTGGAGGAAGACAGACACGGAAACTGAAAAATCACACTGTGTTAAATGCTTGTTTAGAAATATCAGTAAAGAGCCAGAGGAGGACAGAGCCGTTAAAGAAGGAGTGACATCTGAACTAAGTTGTGAGCCATAAGTGTATTTACTTTATATATCACCAGTTATGTACCCAAAAGCACATGAGAAGGCTTCTCAAATACACATACTGGAACAACACAAAAACCAAATAAAAGAAATCTGAGTGAATTAAAAATTATGGTTAAAAAATACAAAGTCAGGAGTAAGAATATTACTCAAAATGTATGCTGGCCTGAATTGGGAATCAAAGTTGGGTTATTCTCTTTCTAGCAGAAAACACAAAAAGGAATGAAGTATCAGCAAGAACATATCAAGGCAGCAGGCCAGGGACAGGTATTCCAAGCAGAGAAAACAGCATGGACAAAGGCCTGAAGTCACTGAAAGGACCTACCCCGCCTAAGGACGAAAGGAAAAAGGATGGAGCTGAAAAGGTGAGCTGGAGCCAGACCAGGAAGATCCGTATGCCAAGCTAAGGAGTTACGATTTTTTCTGTAGGCAACAGAGAACTAACAAAGATATCTTCTCCCTTTCCAAGCCACCTTGCGTTTCTGTTCCAAAGGATGCCTCAATTCTGGGAAGGAAATACTGAAAACTCACCCTCGTTCTGGCTCAAACACACACACACGCGCGCACACACACACACAAAATTAAAAATAGACATCATATGACCTGTTTAAAAGGGGAGGCAATGCTAGTTACATCTAGCAATTAGCTGCTATGCCAATTCTAAAACCCAGGTGCTCCAAAGGCTGCCATCACTTGGACCTGCACCAGCCCCTTCCCTCTGCCCCCACTGCCCCCAGCCTCAGCTGTTTCCCTTGTGGCTTCCTTAGAGAAGTCCTGTTCTGAATGGGGTGATTCTGGGGGTGGCTGTCTAGGGCAGGTGTGCCACAAGAGGAGCAATGGTTCGAAAATAATCAAGTCTCACTGTTTCCAGAACTTCTGGGTCTTTTGTTGTTGTTGTTGTTGTCGTTGTTGTTTTGAGAAGGAGTCTTACTCCACTGTCCAGGCTAGAGTGCAGTGGCATGATCTCGGCTCACTACAACCTCCACCTCCTAGGTTCAAGCAATTCTCCTGCCTCAGCCTCCTGAGTAGCTGGGATTATAGGCGCCTGACACCTTGCCCAGCTAATTTTTGTATTTTTAGTAGAGACGGGGTTTCACCATGTTGGCCATGGCTGGTCTTAAACTCCTGACCTCGTGATCCACCCACCTCAGCCTCCCAAAGTGCTGGGATTACAGGCATGAGCCACCGCACCTGGCCAGAACTTCTGGTTTTTAAGAGGACCAGAAATCCAATATCTCAATGTTGGTATGTAATTCAAAAATTTTAAGTAAGGGGGAAAACCCACATCCAACACTGCATGGGCCAACTAATACGTGTCTATGAGCTGTCTGTAGATGACTCTAGCCTTTGGCCTCACTGGAATCCACTGATGTAAGTGAGCTAGCATCATCCTTTTGAATCACTGTGTTCATCTGTAGCTTCCTTAAAATAGGGCTTTTTAAAAAGATCTGGCCAGTGCAGTAGCTCATGCCTATAATCCCAGCACTTTGGGAGGCTGAGGTGGGAGGATCACTTGGGCATAGGAGTTCGAAACCTATGGCAATGTGGCAAAATACCGTCTCTACAAAAAATTTTTAAGATAGCCAGGGCTGGCGACATGCGCCTGTAATCCCAGCTACCTGGGAAGGTGAGCTGGGAAGATCACTTGAGCCCAGGAGGTGGAGGCTGCAGTGAGCTGTGTTCACACCACTGCACTCCAGCCTGGGCAACAGAGTGAGACCCTGTCTCAGAAAAAAAAAAAAAAAAAAAAGTCTTTCCCAGCTACAGGTCATTAATCTGACCAGCTGCTCCAGAAAGATTCGAGCAACATGAGGGAGCAAATATCTGCTTCAACTTCCACTCCCTTCCCTGAGAGCACGCATTTATTCAGAAACATCCACTGAGTCCCTGCTCTGGGGACAGACTAGTGAAAACAATGCCTCTGGACAGATGGTAAACAAATAATCACAAATCGTGGTATTAGTATAAGGAAAAGTACATGGTGCTATGTGAAGTGCGGCAGGACACAGTTCATGGCGGGCGGAATGGAGGGGAGTGCCTACAGAGGCCTTCTGAAAAAATGACACTTAAACAGACCTAAAGACTCTCCAAAAGTTTGTCAAGTGAAAGGGAAGCAAGGCATTGCAGGCAGAAGGAAACACATAGGTGAAGATCCTGAGGCAACAGGAAATTTGATGCATTCCGAGAACTGAGACTGAGCAAGAGAAGGGAACAGAATGAGGCTAGACAGGGAGGCAACAGCTGGATCACGGAAGGCTCTGAAAGACGCAGTAATGAGCTTGGATTTTATCAGAAGGGTAATGGGCAGACAGAGAGTTCTCAGCAAACCAACAAAATCAGACTTAGATCATTCTTGCTTAGCCTGGAGAACGGATTGGAGGGAACAAGAGAGGGCAAGGCCCCAACTACCTTCTTGTTCACCACTCTAACCCTAGCACCTAGCATGGTGCCCACACATAACTGGCACTCAGTAAACGTTTGCGGAATGAATGACCGTGGAAACAGGAGACCATTACGGTAACCAAGGCTGGCAGCTGAAGACAAGTGTTCCGAGCTGAGATGTTTTGTAAGTCGAGGTGACTGGGGCTTAGTAATGGACTGACTGAATGTGGGGGTTTTGGGATAAGAGAAAAACAAGTCAGGCATGACTCCCATGAATCTGGCTTGGTCCACCTGACTGGAGGAGCTGGCTTAAAGAGATAGGTAAGATGGAAGAAGGGGTGCAGGGAAAGAGTTCACAGATTCTCTACCAACTCCCATCACACGCGTGTCTGAGCATCTGAGCAACATCTGGCCCAAGAGCTGGGACTAAGCTCCCTGAGCATGACGCGGTGGCATAATTTGTGTGCCCCGGCTCTCCCAGATGCATGCGAGGCACTAAGAGCCGACTCTTTACTATGTAAACTCCCCGAACTTATCCGACCCCCAGTTTCCTCGTAAGATCGTGGCAAGCATCAACGCGTCAAACTCCAGGCCTAACCTGGGTGTGAAAGCGCCCCCTGAGAGTGGGGCGGAATTCCCACGTCTCTCTCCGCCCGGGCTCTTTCCTCAGGACGCGGGCCTGTCAGGCTCCTCTCGCCCCTGGTCCGCCCGCATCCCCCGACCCGAGGTCAGCCTACCTGCCGGCCCCGCGGCGGCAGCGCGCTGCAGCCTAGGCTGATGTAGACAGGCAGCTTCTCCCGGGTCAGCGGCAGCCGGTACCCAGTCAGCCTGCCACGGCCGCTGCCACGGCTACAGAACCTGTTTACCCATGACGTCACTACCTTCCTGACCCCGGAAGCACTTACAGCCCCGAATCCACAGAGGTTGCTGGGAAACAGAGGCCCGAGGGAGGTCGGGCCTACAAGACCCAGAAGCCTTAGCGCCGGCAAGGCGGCCGGAAGTGGCTTTCCTCTCTCCGCGAAGACCCTCGGGGGATTCCGCCTCCACCCTTTCCCGGATAGAGCGCTATGCATGCAGGGACTTGTAGTCTCAGGCTCCCCGACCGGCGGGGCTGGGCGCACTCCGGGCGGAGTCGGCGAGCGCAGGATGTGAGCTCACAGCCCGGGACTGCTGGTGGGCAGGCGGCTGCAGGCTAGGGGCGGCTCGGAGTCCGCTGGCCACCCAGCTGAGAGGAGAGGCGCCCCCGGGGACGGTGAGAGCCGGGCCCGCAGATGCCCTCGGGGAAGGGGTGGACGGCCCCTGCTGGAGTATAGCGAGCCCGTCCTGGGGAAAAGGCGCGGGCGGCGTAGGGGAAAAGGAGAGCTCTGATCTCCCACGGAGGGTGGGCGTGAGAATCGGTGTGGGTTTCTCGGTAGTGAGGAGTGGCCCGGGCTAGAGAAGAGCCCACACCGGCCACATTTCCCAGGATTTTTTGGGTGACGCTTAACCTTTACACCTAGGGTTTCTGCTAGATCCGCCCACTCTAGCCCTCAGCTTTCCCCGCGCCGTCCTCCGTGTCTGACGGATTTCTGGGTCCTTCTTCCTTTTAGACCTCTCCTCTTTCTACAGCCGCGGCTGTTTGCCCTTTGTTCTGCTTGGGTTCCCATTAGCTTCGTTGCGTGAGCCATGGATCCGCCCCTAGCCCCAGGCATCCCCAAATATCCACACACAAAGTGCGGAAGGAAGAGCACTGTGGCTATCAGTGGAAACTTCATTCTCACTGGAATTACTTTCTGGGGCGTCACCTGCCACAGGATTCCTGGAACCCATTGGTCTGGGCGGAATCTGATTGACGTCATCCAGGGGCTCAAAGCAATTGCTTTGTAGGAAAGGAATAGATTAACTCTGGATCCGCCGACCTCTCTTGGCAGGCCTATCCTTTGAGCTCCTTTGCATTGACAGAACATGTATGCATGCTTTCTTTGATCCTGGGAAAACTAGGGCTAGACACAAAATACATCGGGAACTTGCTAATGCCTGTTAGGGAGGTGGATTTATTCCTTTGAGGTGGGCGGAAAAAGGGAAGGTGATCTCATACCATTCTAGTGTTTCTTAGTCATTGGCAGCCTCCTGGTGAGGGTTCACCTCCCATACCCAACCTCTGTGGCAAAGGAAAGAGTCTCCCAGACAAGCCGCCAAAGGAATTCACTGCTTCACACAGCACCCACGCTGGCCGACCACTTCCTTGGACATTCTTCCCAGGGACTTACCTAAATCTTTTCAGGGACAATTTCAATCTAACAAACTGACATATGTTAAATACTTAAAATGTGCATGGCATTGTGCTAAGCACCATTAGGGGAACACAGCAGTAAACTTAGGAAACCAGTGCCCTGCTTCTGGGTTGCACTTACAAGAGAGGAGCAACTGTAAACTCCTGCATGTAATGAGCATTCGGTGAAATCATTCCACTTTTTTTCTGTCTCCGTTATTACCAACGTGGTCCAGGCCCGCCGCCATCTCTTCTTGCCTAGACTACAGTTTCCTCTGGTCTTCCCACTTCCTCTCTTGCACCTTTACAATTCATTCTCTACCCAGCAGCAGTTATCTTTTCAAAATACACTACAGGCAAGTCAGATCATATCACTCCTCTGCTTGCAACTCTCCAGTTGATTCATATATTATATAGCAATAGGCCGGGCACAGTAGCTCACGCCTATAATCCCAGCACTTTGGGAGGCCAAGGCGGGTGGATCATCCGAGGTCCAGAGTTCAAGACCAGTCTGACTAACATGGAGAAACCCCATGTCTACTAAAAATACAAAATTAGCTGGGCATGGTGGTGCATGCGTGTAATCCCAGCTACTCAGGAAGGCTGAGGCAGGAGAATAGCTTGAACCTGGGAGGCGGAGGTTGCAGTGAGCCGAGATCGTGCCACTGCACTCCAGCCTGGGCAACAAGAGTGAAACTCTGTTTCAAAAAATATATATATATGTGTGTGTGTGTGTGTATATATATATATATATATATGTAATAGCAATTAGTATGAAATCCACACTTTGTTATCATCTAACACCTGCCTTCCCTGACTTGACATCAAACCAACTTCCCCCTACTGTCTGTGCACCAGCCATTATGACCTTATTTCTGATCCTAAAACTTGTTTTTATTTTGTTGTTGAGACGAGATTTCCCTGTCACCCAGGCTGACCTGCCCAGGCTCAAGCAATCGTCCCACCTCAGCCTCCCAAGCAGCTGGGACCACAGGCATGAGCCACCATATCTGGCTAATTTTTTTTCATTTGTAGAGACAAACTCTCACTATGTTGCCCAGACTGGTCTTGAAGTCCTGGGCTCAAGCAATCCACCCACTTCAGCCTCCTAAAGTGCTGGGATTACAGGTGTGAGCCACCACACCCGGCCCCTAAAACTTGTTTCTAACAGGAACTTTGCCCTTACTCTTCCATCTGTGTAGAATGCTCTCTTCAAACCTCAGCTGAAATGTCACCTTCCCAAAGATGCTTACCCTGTCCCTCTGTCTAAATTAGTGCCTCTCCCTAATCACTCTCATATCACTGTTTTATTATCTTTATTGCATTTATCAGGTTCTGGAATTATCTGTTTATTTATTCAAGTCCTTGTTTATAGTCTGTTTCCTTCCACTAGAATGTAAGCTCCATGTGGACATGACTTTCTATATTTGTTCTCTTCTGAGTACCCAGTGCCTGGCACATAGGGGTACAATAAATGCTAGCTCTCTCTCTTTTTAAAAATTCCTGTTATGATGCTCCTTTGAACTGTTTGAAGGCAAAGACAATGTTTTTTCATTGTTCCCTATTGCTTAACATAGTAGGCACTCAGTAGTTTAATGGCTGAATTAGTTAAATGAGCTAATATATATTAAATGCCAAGAGATGGGGTCTTGCTATGTTGCCCAGGCTGGTCTTGACTACCAGGCTCAAGAGATCCTCCCACCTCAGCCTACTGAGTAGCCAGGAGTACAGGCAGGTGGCAGCACACAGCTTACCTCATTGTTTTTAGATTTATCCTCTGATCTTTTCTAGTCCTTTCTTCTCCCATTCTTATTGGGAGGGAAGAGGAGAGTAGGGCTGGGCTCCCTCTCAGGAAAAAGAAAGGAAAACAGCCACCCTATAGCTGTTCTTCCCTGAAAAATGGTGACAATTTCAGGAACTTGGGACAAGCCTGGTGCCAAGAAAGGGGAAGGTCAGGAAGCCCCAGCCAAAGCCCAGGAAACCTACGCCAAGAACACTGGCCAGCGCCCCCCACCTTGGCTTACTCAATTCTCTCCTGAAGCTGCTTTTACTTTCCTTCCTGAAGCCAGACTCTAGGTGGTGCTCAAAATAAACACTGGCACAGGCTGCTCTTGAGGCTGGAATCTTTAGAAAGGAAGTGCATCCTGTCCCTCTGGCTCCTGGGAAACTCCTAGGCTAGCTGGATTCCCAATAGGCTTGGCTGGAAGTCTGGGATCCTGGGAACCTTGACAAGAAAGTAACTGGAATCTGACTGATAGATCTCTAGGGTGATCTGTTCCTCTGGCCCTCTCTGACTGATTCCATGGATTTGCTTGTCTTCCTTGAGGCCCTGAATAGAGCTGAGTCTCAGGGAGGCTGATGAGGTGACCAGGGCAGGAGTCTGGGAGACTGCCTCCAGCCCTGGTTCCTGCTATAGTAAAAATGGCAGGGAGGCCAGACACGGTGATTCACGCTTATAATCCCAGCACTTTGGGAGACTGAGGTGGGCAGATCGCCTGCGCTGAGGAGTTCGAGACCAGCCTGGGCAACATGGTAAAATCCTGTCTCTACCAAAAAAAGAAAGAAAAAAAAATTAGCTGGGTGTGGTGGTGCGCATCTGTGGTCCCAGCTACTCAGGAGGCTGAGGTGGGAGGATCACTTGAGCCTGGGAGGCAAAGGTTGCAGTGAGCCAAGATGGCGCCACTGCACTCCAGCCTGGATGACAGAGTGAGACCCTGTCTCTAAGAAAAAAAAAAAAAAGAAAGCAAAATGGCAGAGACTTAGCCTCTGCCAGGGAGCAGTGCTTGGGCTTGTCAAGGAGAGAATGAGTACGGTCATGTTTCTGCTATTATCTCCTCCTGGTCTAAGGGTTCTCTCAGCTGACTCTTGTCTTCTCTCCCGTTTCCCGTGTCCAGCACTGAGAGTATGAGGCTCTGGCCTCCACTGGCCACTCACTCGTGACCCTTTCCACCACGGTGGAGCCTTCCAAGCCTACCTCCTGCCGTGTGGTGATCTACCTGCAGCGGGAGATGTCGGGGGACACCTGCCTGTGCCCGGCCTCAGGGGCCAAGCCCAAGCTCAGTGGATTCAAGGGAGGAGGGCTGGGCAACAAGTACGTCCAGCTCAACGTGGGCGGCTCTCTGTACTATACCACTGTGCGGGCCCTGACCCGCCACGACACCATGCTCAAGGCCATGTTCAGTGGGCGCATGGAGGTGCTGACAGACAAAGAAGGTGAGGCACTGGGGCTTGCTGCTCGGGGTGGGGAGGGCAGGAGAGGTTCCCAAGGAAATGACCAGATCTAGAATTCAGTCACTTTTCCTCTTCACCTTATGTAAGGTGTCATCACCTGGAGTCCCTAGTAGAGCTTCAGAATTCTGTGAAATTGTACATGGAATGCTATGTTTATGCGTTTTCCAGGAAGAAGAGCCATACTTTTAAAATATTTGAATAGGACAACATTCTCATAGGAGCCATCACTTTAAGACTGGGCAGTGGGCAGAAGGCCGGCAGCAGTTGGTTTCTGTGTTGGGCTGGGCCTGGTGCCCTGAGCCTAGGCCCCTATGGCCTGTACAGCCTGGAGGGCTGTATCCCCTGTGGGATGTGCCAGTTCTGGGTTTCAGAGAGGAAGGGTGAAGAGCAGCCGTGGGCC